GTAACCGTAAGTTCTATTTTAAAATTTCATCACGCACTTCTAGCTTGTGGAGAACTCTTCCGACTTTGAGTCAATTTTAATCTTCAAAAATTAAAATAAAATATCAAACATTATCTTCTCTCCCCTTAATAATGGCTTTTAGCTATTTGCGTCTTAGTGGCTTTATTATCTTGATTGGGGTGAACTGATTAATAAATACAAAACAAAAAAAAACAGCCACAATTAAAATTCACTCCTCACATGTCTGGCTGGGAATTAGACTGAAACTCCCACAATCTACCATTCTCTCTTTTTAGACTTTTCTAGTATAAATCTTGTTGAGTCATCTTCCCCTTCAAAGTCACAACGTTCATCTTTGTTTCAGCAGAAATTATAGCAATGTCGAAGAAAATCAAACTAATGTTCAACTACAATGACCTTTTACTCATGATAATAAGATGGAAAAATAAGCTTACTTATGCTAATAAGATGGAAAAATAAGCTTACTTATGCTAATAAGATGGAAAAATAAGCTTATTTATGCTAATAAGATGGAAAAATTCGAACTAAGAAATCTGCATATTATGACTTATATGATCGAAAATCTTTCATTGTTCAAATTGTTGCCTTTTTTTCAGTTTCAAGCTACTTAAAGCTATAGCAAGAATATTATAATCGCCAAAAACAAGAGACGACTGAAAAAAGCATACTGCCGAACAGTCTTAAGTTCTTAATAAAATAAAGGTGTATAATCATTTTATGTAGTTGATCCCAAACTTGTGCACACTAGTGTGTAATATGTATTAATCAGATTTTGTTGGTTGAATAGAAAATATAACAAAACTTTCTGGGATTGTTTAACTGTCGAACTCTCTGCCTTGAGCAGAGAGGAACCCGGACGAGGCTTTGCCGAAGGGCAAAGTTTCGTCCGGGGAGGTACTGTACTGTACTGATGCGGCATTCACCCTGGGCGGATTGAGCCAGCTTCTTCCTGTTATGAGAAGAAGATTCTTGGGATAAATTACAGAAGTAGGGTACCCAGGCCTACTCGGGGAGGTAGACAGTCCCTGAACCCGTTTACATGTTTAAGTAGGCACGCTGTTTTTTTTTTAACAATGTTACTTACGTCTACAGGTCTGTGATTTGAGAGGCTTACTAAAGGAAACCTGCGTCCCCTTTTGTAGGGGAAAACTACTGTCTGGCACGGCGTCCTTTAGACATTTTCTTTATTAAGTCTCTCGAATATACAAGCCGACAGACGTACTTCACACCGTTTTAAAAAAAATAGAAACAAACGTGCTTATTGAAACACGCGCTTCCACTAACATAACGTTAAATTAAGAATAATATTGGATTACGAACAAAAATACATTAATTCCTCAATACACACAGACGCACGCACGCACAGACGCACGCACAGACACACACAGACACACACACAGACCCACGCACGCACAGACGCACGCACAGACACACACACACACACACACACACACACACACACACACATATATATATATATATATATATATATATATATATATATATATATATATATACAACGGTGACGGCAGCAATGCTAAAAAGTGAGAAACGATTCATGCGGAATTAGGTCTAACTGAGTCCTCGGTCCGATCTTGTGTTTCTCTAAAGATGACACATCGCATTTTGTCTCCCGCTAAAGGAACTTGTCCACAAGATTTCTCGTGCCTTTTAAAGTTGATGGTTTCAATGTTCGAGTTGGAAAACATGGAGTTAGAAAGTGCAATAGTAATGACTTGTTACTACTGCAATATATGTCAGGAGTTAAGCTTGTGAATAGGGAACACCATGTCTCAGCAAAAATTAAGTGCTAAAACAAGTATGGATGCATTCAGGTTCAAAATAATGGCATAAGATTGATTATATTCTTGGGAAAAGGCTAGATTCATACTTTATATTCAGCGAAAGAGCTGGATTCATACTTTTCCCAATGGTATTAGCTCGTAAATGTAACAAATTCGACTGGAATTTGAACTCAGCTCTCCGATTCCTCAATCCGAACTGCTAACCATTCCTCCATATAATAAAGTTATATATATATAATGCAATCTGAACTTTATTATATGGAGGAATGGTTAGCAGTTCGATTGAGAGTTATAATTGTAATATATATATATATATATTACAATTATGCTTACCCGCTGCAAGTCCCAGGAGCCACTCGAGGTAAAGGCTTACAAATTAAGAGGCACAGTTTATAGAGTTATGTGAGGAAGATACCGGTTTTTAACTGGTTAAGTTTGTAGGGATCGGTGAAGCATCCTCCTTGAAGTCGGTTCTCCAGACCAGCGCTTTGTGGGAAGAAACTGGTCGAGTGAAACTGAAACCATATAGCGCCAAGGAGAGAAGGACCAGAAATGAATAAAAATGAAAGCTTGTACAAGGAATTAAAGTGGAAGGTACCGCGTAGGCTCTAACAAGACACTTGGTGGTGGAATAACACAAATCGGATTCAATGTTCATATGATTTCAACGATGCCCAACTTCTATATAACTCGTTGCGCAAAGTTTACAGTCTATCTACCATTCCGGTATTTCATCTACGAAAATCTGGATTGCAAAGAGTTTCTCGGAGATCCAAATGACGTTCTTATTTGAATTCAGTTGTTGGATTCAGTTCGACTCTCACGATCTATTCTCTCAGCTCTCAGTATCAATCTATGCTGATTGCTGCAATCATTTATTCCTGTCTGAAGAGCAAGTCTGGGCAATTCGATAAGGTCAAATTTTGTTGTTAATTCGGCAAGGAATGGCTTGTTAATCTTAACGCCCCAAAACTAAATTGTTTTCTATTAATCACCTGAGAGAATCTTTTCTGCCTCCCATCAGCATGGCTGGTGTTAGCCTCCAGGAGAGTAACCTCTTAATTGCTGTTTTTCCCTGGTCTACCTTGGCCCGGTGTGGCAGCACCTGTTAGGGTCCCAACTATGGGCGAATAGCGAACCCTCAAACTAGAGTTAAAAAATGAAAATATGAAAGATTAGAAAAATTACCTGCAATACATTTTCATAGTAAAAGAATAAAAAATTACCTGCAATACATTTTCATAGTAAAAGAATAAAAAATTACCTGCAATACATTTTCAGAGTAAAAGAATAAAAAATTACCTGCAATATTACCTGCAATACATTATTGGAAAAAAAAGAAATGCCAGTAATACATTTTTGGAGAAAAAATACCAAAGCTCTCAAGAAAATAAAATTTCGACATTAAATGACCCATAAGGATTTGATATGCCGTTAAACAAACCAAACCAAGAGAGTAACTCGTTGCGCCTTTGCGGGCTTACGTTTTTCACTGACATGGCGTGGAAAGATTAAATTCAATCAATTGTTAGGTCTGCTACTAGGAAAGTTGGTTCACTGTGTCGTGCTAGACAATTTCTCGCCAAAATCTATCTTACATATTTATAAGTCTACCATACATCCCTGATTTAAATACTACTGTCACGTATGTTTTAGTGCTCCTGCTATATATTTAGAGATCCTTGATAAAATCCTAAGAAGAATCTGCAATATTATTGGTCACGACCTATCATCTCGGCTTCAATCACTTTCCCACCGCCATAATATAGCTGCTCGATGAATTTTCTATAAATACTTCCATGGTAAATGTTCTTCGGAACTCTGCTTTATGGTAAATGTGGGTTGTTTTGGTTTAAGGAATACTGTAGTATGTTTGAGTCAGTAATTGTTGCTACCGAAGTTTAAGATAAAAGAGATTGAAGACCAGCCTTACTTTATCCCACGCTTTTGGCCTTGTACTACATCTTTGTATTACGCAAAATAAAGATTACTATCCTTTGTGGTACCTAGACTCTATAAATTTAAACGCATCACTAAATCATATGATTTTACAGTTAAAATGGCTAAGTTTTATTCTAACAGTTTTTTTCTATCGCACTTCTCGCTTGTGGAACTCTCTTCCAGTTTCTTGATTTTCCAGTCAAATTTGATCGATAAAAAATTAAATTATATATCAGTCGTTATCTCCTGTCTCCATAAATTCTGTTCTTTTATTGTTCTCGCTCCTTAATAATGTTTTTTTTTCTGGTATTCTTTCACCCTCAGTAACGCCATGCATGTTAGTGGCTTTGTTTCCTTGCTTGGGGTGAAATGATTTAAAAGAGGGACTGGGGATGATCTGCGGTTGAAGCTTGAATTAATCAGTTTCATTATGAAGAAAGAAAAATATATTCTATTGCTTTTACCTAATTTTCTTTTGTACAAACAAAATTATTTATATTAATATACCAAATTTAGATTAGTCTGGAAGAAAAGCCACAAATGTAGGGCATCCAGTGATGATTGAACTCGTAACACAGCGGTAATAGAGTGATCAGCGAGGTCGGTAGCTTCTCCCACAGCTGGGAGCCTTCAAATATTTACTAAACATTACTTAGTCTGACACAAGGCCTCCATTGGGCGATATCCAGTGATAATCAAATTTACAACACACCGTTAATGGTGTGGAAGACTACTTCGCTAGCCATTAGCCTACAGCAAGGCGCCTACTCTGAACATAACCAATTGTATCTTTGAGAATTTGTCTGTGACCGCATGTGAGCGTTTCTGGGTGCGATTACTTGTTCATATACGTACGTTTATTTACTTATATTTTTTGTTGTTGTTGTTGTTGTTTGTCCCTGTAAGAAGGAGACATTATTTTGTTTTCCTTTCTTTTATACTGTGAAGCTAACTTTGAACGTCTGAGTACTTTCTCGAAACAAATGGAATTGCTTTTATTCCATTATACAAATATATTAATCAAGTAACTGCCTACAAAGGAAAAATGAAAGACAGATGAGAAAAAGCAAGGAAACAATGAATTAAGTCTGATGACTTGGAGAGTTCCTTTCAACAGAAATCTTTTCCTGATTAACAACATCACTAATGGACTTCTGTTCGAGGTGAGGTTTATTTCGCGAAGCCTTCTCTGATTTAGCGCGAATCAAGTCTCAACCTGTGCTATTCTTTCTGTTAATCTACTCCAGTCGTACACATACACACACAGATATATATATATATATATATATATAGATAGATAGATAGATAGATAGATAGATAGATAGATAGATAGATATGAACAAATGAGATAGATAGATAGATAGTTAGATAGATGAAGTGAGGTAGATATATAGATATGAACAAATGAGCTAGATAGATAGATAGATAGATAGATAGATATGAACAAATGAGATAGATAGATAGATAGATAGATAGATAGATAGATAGATAGAAAGAAACAAATGAAATAGATAGATCGATAATGAACAAATGAAATAGATAGATAGATAGATAGATAGATAGATAGATAGATAGATAGATAGATATGAAAAAAGTGAGATAGATAGATAGATAGATAGATAGATAGATAGATAGATAGATAGATAGATATGAATGGAGTGAGTTATTTATAATAGTGAGATATA